ATTTGTTACAATGAGTCGTCTGAAGATGTACCGTGCCAAAAGTATTCGTAAATGCGAAGTGGAGATTCCTTCACGTGGTAGTAACGCCTTGATTGTTTTCAAGATCTGTCGAATGTTCAGCATCATTAGGAAGAGTACAATTTAGTCTACCTTGTGAAATGCAAAAAACCGATTGAATTATTATAACTTCTAAAAAGAATAGGTATGAGCGTCTGCGCGCGCTGTAATCATAATTTTAGCCCACCTTATATTTTTAGAAAGTAACTTCTATTCCTATGCAAGGCCTGCCCATCACGGACGGAGCCTTGCTGAGTTTGTGCATGCCCACCAGGCACAGGCCTTGTTTGCATACTCAATTCTCTTCTTCTGGAATCGAACTTATGAACTGAACTGAACTTATTCGGAAAGTACTACCCACTGCCGATGGATGTCCATCATTTCACTTGCTGATCCATCCTTCATCTTTGCTCATTTGTTCCAGGTGTCTGGGCTGTTATGGAACCTAATTGAGAAGATTTGCCTATGATATAGCCCACTCGTGCTCATGTCCCGCCCATGAGGGCGTAGCTCTCCGCTAAGCCCACATGTGCTCAGTTATCTTGACCCAAACCGAAACCATTCCAAACTTGATCCTACCTCTCTAAGGAAGATTGAATTTTGTGAAAACAGACAAAGAGACAGAAAGACAGACAGACAGACAGACAGACAGACAGACAGACAGGCGCGCGCTTCATTTACGGTAAGGAAGACTTAAAACGTTTTAGAGTTCGGAAAAACTTGGATAAAGGTAGCAAAGGATGGAGTACCAAATCCGTATGGTATGGTAAGCGTGTATGCACTTGAATGAAATCTCGAATAGAAAACATGTGTTACGATGCGAAGACCTTCCAGTTTTGGAAAAGTGGATGGATGCCAGCAAAAACACGGTGCTCAACTTTTCTTAGGTACCAGAAAGAGAGATGCTCAGACCGTTAATCTTCGCCTGGGTAAAAAGCATTCAAGAGAGTGGGAGAAATGTCGACAGACGTTATCCGAGTTGGAGGAGTAGAATTTTCATGGTAATCAAAGCAGCACCGGAGTTGGCGTGGGTTGGCAATATGAGCGTTTCATGAGTAGAAAATGGTAGGACGCTCCCAAGCGGTTGGAGAGAGTGAAAGCAAACCTAGCTACTAAAAGGCACAACGCTTGATCTCGACTAGCCCAATAGGCCACGAGCGTTTGTCGAAGAAAAATAGCATTATGCTAGGGGGAGCTTAGTCCAACTGTTGAAGGAGGTGCTTCGGAGTAGAAAGTCTCCACTACCAAAATCAACACACCCTCTAGACACGGGATAGAATCCGGAAAATAAATGAGTAGAGGCTAGTATAAGTACACAAACAAGTTTCAATGACAGACGAAGTGGGCACCAGAGTGGGCGTAGTCTGTGCCTAAAATCTGTATTCCAGTAGGAGAACGGTCCGTAGTCCGGGAAAAAGTAGATAGAGGCTGGCAAAGGGCACAGTCCAATTAGGAGTTGTTGAAATGGGTACGAAAGCAAACGGAGTTTAGACCAAGTATCTATATTTCTTTTCAAAAACTTGGAAAAGGTGGGTAGAGGCTAGCAGAAGCTTTAACTTCATCTGAGTCCGGAAACAGTGTGATAGAAACCTGAAAAATTAGAGGTGAGACTGTCAAGGTAGGTGGGCTGAGCACCAAAGTGAGTTGTGTTTTTGCCGAGAAATCAATGTTCTGTTGAGAACATTTAAGATAGCCATTCACACAAGACCGATTCAACATGAAAAAGGGCAGAGGTAAAATTCAAAATTGATAGCACGTTCAAACAGCGTTCATGGTGCGAATACGACCTTCATTCATATCTTCGCTTCCTTTAGACGTAGATCGCTCACACTCTGAATAAGTCTAGCAAGTGTGATGGTAGTTACGATGTTGTGATATCGGCTGCAATGCCAATTAATTCACACAATAAATATCAATTCGTTGTGTGAATATGTACTTACCCGTGAGGCATAGTGCGTTCAAACTCTATAATAGTGAAGAACGGATAATGACGGTCGATATTAATCAATCAGTGGCGATTAGCATCTATTCTTAGATTCGTCCTTGTGCATAAAGCGTGTGATGCGATTGAGTCTCTCTAGCTTCTAGCCCTTGAATGGGTATTCCGGCAAATGCAAATTGCACTGCAGTGTTGTAGGCAGAAATAGATCAAACAGTATCGATATCCATTCATTATGCGATTGACCGAGCATACCTCACTGACATCACTGAGTTCCTTATATCACAAAGTATTTAGATCTGATTGATGGTGCGCTCAAAGGATATTGGTCGACATCGACTAAACTGTTATGACCAATGTAAATCTTTTTGTAATATTGACTAAATACATACATAAAGCCTAGCCTCCTTAGACTGAGAAATTCAACAAAGTCGAGGAGGTATTACGAGATAATGGCAGCAAAGACCGATCGGTATTGATTAACCATTACCGATCAGAACCTATTCATACTGGAACATGATGACTATTCATTATTTTCAAGCTCAATGGGATTGGAGGACAAAGGCAGCAGAAGATATCCCGAATTTAGCACGGAGAGGAGAGCCCGGGCGATCCGACTGGAGATGAGATAAAGCTCAAAGCCAAGCAGTGAAAATAGTGCCGACAGGGCATCACGAGTGAAACCACTGAGTTTGTTGAGATACTGACAAATGAGTACGGCGCTCAAGATTCACTTCTATGCCATACCTTCTGCAATCTGGGAATCAAGTGGGGAAAAACCACTATCATTAACGATGTTTCAAGACCTTTTTCCTGATATTTCGCTAGCTAACTATTCAGTTTCAATGTTGAGAGCATTTATTCATATGGTGCCGTTACGGTTTGCGTCATTAACTTACCATCTTACCGCTAGGAGTGAAGAAATGTAAAAGAATCTCTGATGAACGTCTGAAACAAAAAGTTCTCACAAATGTTGATGAACGAGGAAATGGGACATTTGCAAAAGCGATGTTGCCGCGCATTCTGAAGAGAGCCTTGAGAACACCCAAACAGAAGGCAAATTGTTGCAAATAGTATCGTTGGCAAACAATGTGCGCTTCTTCAAACTAGCTAGCCCGGTTGTTGGTGTCAATCCCCCCCCCCAGTTCCCATACCAAGCCAAATATATCAGCATTTCTCATAATTTTGTCGTTTCTTTTTGCCAGTTCCATATAAATATGTATCACAATGCGTGTTTTTAAATGGGCACGGCCATAGCGAAAGCAGTAGACCAATCGGTCGATAGCGAAGGGTCAACTAGTTGAAGGTTCGGTCAGAAAGATTGTCAGTCACAAAATTCAGTCAAATTGATAAAGGATAAAGGATAGTGGCGTAATGAGTGCGTATTTGGCTTATACAATGACTTGCAGTGGCCAGCCGACGTACAGGTCAGCGCTTTATCCCCCCGCTTTATCTTCCCAGACGTGTCTGGTACCAATTCAACGACCCCGGAAGGATGGAAGGCTTGGTTGGCCTAGGCGGGCATCGATCCGGGATTCGAACCCTTGACCGTGCCTGTGATAAAGTGCGCCACTCGCCACTACACCACCTCCGCCCTAGTCAAATTGATATTGTACTAAGAACAAGTCAAAAAGTTCCCCAAACCCAACCGTGGAGTGCACTCCCATTGAAAATTATTATGAACTTGTGTAGCAATGAAATGAATATCAATGAAAATTTGTCTTGATCTTATACCTGCTACTAGATTAGCATGTATTCCTTGATTTAAATAATCTAAGCATTCACATGGGTGCTAAACTACTTCGTTTCTCATGAAATGCACCTGTGCAAAAAAACTAGCGGATACTCGAAAAATCGGTAATTCAAACCATGGTTTTCAACTGAGAATGTTTGAATCCTGTCATGAAGGGCATCAAAATAAACACGATCCGGTGATCTCCCAGAATTTAATGCCATACTTCCTTCTAAAAACCAAGAATGTAATTTTTCAATCGACCTGGATGATTTAGGATGATATATCCGCAGAAAACCTTCAGAAAAATGAAGTCTCATTCTGAGATTTTTCTTGAAAATGAAGCAGCAAAGTTGAAGAAAATCGAGAAATCATAGTATGACTAGACTGTCCATAAGGATTATCTATTGGTTTTCGTTGAAAAATAAGGTTGGGAAGAAGTAAAAAATATCTGAGAAACTGGCAAGTTCGAATCGCTGCTTCTAGCTGAAAGTTTTGAAATTATATCATGAAAAACATCAGAATGATCAGGACTGCTATCCTCGAATACAGTGCCGCTTTTGCTATCCTCGAATCTTTCGAGTACTGGAAACAAAGTTTCCGACTGACGTGGAGAGTTCACGACGCTGTTGTGTATATCCGTAAGTATTATAAACCCTAGGTGCTGTGTTACTCAATTTTCATTTTTTCTGGAAATGAAGACAAAAAAAAAATTAAGAGAGACGAAAGTTCATTACGTATTTGAATTTTTTACGAGCAATGCTTCCAGCTGATCTACTACTACTTTCAACCTGATTGGAAAATTTTAACAAAACTTATGGAGAAGCGGTGGTTGGCGACGGATTGATGTGTCGCAAATGGATATACTCGTTGAATACCGTCAGTTGACCACGAATTAGTGGCGGTATTGTATTGAAATTTTTTGCAAAAAAAATTTCAAATTTCAAAAATTTGAAATTTGCAGAAGAGTATTTTTTGATATCAAAAACACCCAGAAAGCACGATATCTTGAAACCAGGGGAAAAGATTTTGAATGATTTCCATTGCTTACTAATCAAGAAAAGAGCAATGGGAGAACTTCCTATACAAATGCAGTGGGAGGACTTCCTATCCAAATAAGCCCAAATGATTTGAATTGCTTTATCCCTGGTCTTCGAAATTGCAAAGATCTCGAGAACTTAGCTCAGACACTGCGAACAATGGGTGATTTCAAAGAGTTGCTGCATTATGTTGATGAATAAAAACTCTCCAATGATATGACAGTTAAAAAGTTTACCTGCGATCCCCGTACTCCAATGGAAAAGCACTCGTGAGTGGTAAATAGTAGGTATTCTCAACCCAGCAGTAGTTTTCAGTGTACTGTTCCCAAGCGTCGGTGAACTGTGCGGGCACCCAGCATTGAATCGGATAACCTGTGTAGAAAGATAGAATAGACGGTAATATAAGAGTAATGTTCTCAACGTTCAACTTACCGACGTATTGTTTCGCGGAAACAATAATAGCGAACGCGAATATTATTGCTGAAGTGTAGTGGTAATTCAACTTGTCAACGAAGTCATCATCTACTCTTGGATGAAGACCTTTGAATATTGCTGCTAAATAGTACAATAGCATCTCGACGGACAGAGACTGGAAACAAGCAGTTGACTGCCACTTATATGCTCATTATCGAGCGACACGTTGATTGGAGAAATGGGTAAAATTAAGGAAAATTCGCTTTTAATCTGAATTACAAGTACAGCTATATAAATCTCGGCTGCAAGCCGACACGAAAATATTGTTTTTCCAAAGGCAGATACGTCGTCAATCTCAGCTCATCAAGTTTTTCAAGGTTATATACAATAAACATCCAAAAAAAACCTTGCTATGAAACTGTAAGATTTTGAAGTATATTCTCAAGCTCACATATCATTTCAATCTTGAATGGAAGGGGTAATAGGTTCGTTCACTCACTCAAAGCCATTCAAGTTGAGATGTATACTGCCGCGTACGGTTTCAATCGCTTTCCTTAAATCTATATTCTGAATATGCTATACCCTTCTTGGAACGAGGTTCCATAGCATTACCTCCATATGGAATGTGATCTTGTTGACAAACAAAGCATGCATAAGCATGTTACGTCACACTGATGTTCGTAGTAGCACCTATATACTAACTGATGGTCATTTTGTGACCAAAATGATATCCTGATCCGAGGCGCTGAGACATGAAAGTATCCTCACGAATCTTATTACTATTTCTTTCTCTGACACGCGACGCGGTGGTATTGAGCAAAATTTCTTCAGAACGCCTGTAGCAGGTGAGTTTCATTCGCTCACGGAAGATGAGAAATAATAACCATTTCACCTATACTATAGTATCTTTTCCTCATGGCGAATATATGAAGTCTGAATTGCTTTTTGGTCAGGAATCATTGTTCTATGGCCATAAAAAAAGCAAAAAAGGTAAGTTAAAGGAGACATGCACTCCGATGCTCTTCGTTTCTCTCCGACGGAGCATCAGCGTGCTTTGCGAGATACTGCCGGTGTTGTATTCTGCCCAAAATGGTATCACTGAAGTTTTTGAAAGATACATACGACGTGACGGGAGAGCGAAGTGAAAGGATCTTTGACTTGAAGCAAAACCATTCCAAGCAATAATTTGATCTATCGATTTCGATGGATTGGAAGCAAATCCTTCTCAGGGTAAAAATGGAGAGGGCACCATTTCTTTCCAAAGGCCATTTGAAATGTTTTCGAAGGGTGATGCAGAGCTTGAAAGGGGAGCAGTAAGGTGCAAAAGAAGAAGGCTTCGCAGGCGTCCATAAAGCACTTCATGAAAATGCGATTTCAATTCAAGCACCATGCAGAGCATCGTGTTACGTGTACGAGTTTAGAACTCCTAGAGCTCTATCTGGTGCGCCATCTCTTCTCGATGACCTCGACTCATCGAGCTCGTGTGTATCAACATCTCTTCCCACCCTTCGAAATGCCTCCGCAACTCTTTTCATACAATTGCTTCGCAAATTTTGAGGAAATAGTTGGAATAAGCGTTAGTAAACACATACTGTGTGACACACTTCATATTAAGTTTCCACCGCTACCAAGAATGTTTCTGATCGATTTGACCAGATGGAAGATTTTATTTCGGTGCGTGGCTCTAAAACCCGCACGCGGCTAACCAAAAGTCATTATTTCGTTATGAAGGCAAATCAAACCGTTGTACTGTGTGATAATCCAATTCCTTCGGCAATCGTTTATAAGTGTTATGATACATACCACTTGGTTCGCCCGGGTAACACGCTATCCTATTGCTTTGGTGATCGGCTAACTCTCCACTCCTTCTTAAAGACAAAGAATAGTCTCGTGTACACGAAGATTGACACAGGACGAAAAGGGGAGTGCAAATGGTACCAAGTGTGAGTCCGTACTAACGCCTCAGATTGGAAGTCTTTTTTTCTTGAACGCTCATTTTCCTAATAATAAGTACTCAGCAAAGACCCAAGCGTCAGGGAATCGAGACCTCGGACTATACTCAAAATGTTTCGAGTGCTGATGGCACAAATACCGGATGTCCTTTTTCAATGGAGATTTTTACTGCGATTTCATAGCTTCAGAATCCCAGATGAGTGGAGCTCGGGTAAATTTTGTCGCAAATGGGCATCGAACAAGGAGGATTCATCAATGATTCACGAAATCTGCTGGATAGCGGTCGTAATTTAATGGCAAGCAATAAATAAAATTCTCATCGCTTATCATTGCGCCTCTAATGAGTCTCTATCACTGCGCTTACTTCTCCCACCTACCCTACCATCCCCATCTTACCGGAATAAACAAATTAACAAGCTACATCGTAAATACCAAAAGCGCTGGAATTTTGAATGGAAGGTGGCACTTGCCCTCTTAAACCCCATCTCCTCCTATCACTTATCATCAGTTCCTGTAACCGAGTACCAACGATCCCTCATACTTTACATGACTCATTAAACTGCCGAGCTTTCACTGTTGAAACGAAAAGCGGAAATTATACCAAGTTTGAAACTCTAGGTCCACTGAAACAGGAGCTGGGAATTTTCACTCAACCATTCATTTCCAGTGATCATGCCTCCTGAGGGCGTAGTCCCGCCTCATAAAACACCGTGAGCGTTCTCTTGGTGCCGGCTGTATTACTAACAAGTTCGAATGCTATAAGCACAGGGAAACAGGAGTTATGAATTCACGGTGGGACACACACACTCACACACAACACACGTATACACACATAAACACATACACATACATACACACATACAAACAAACACACCTACACATACATACGCATACACATACACATAGACACTCAAAAGCACAAATAGACACACAAAGACGCACACACAGACACACACACTCACACACATAGACCTATACAGACAAGCACTCACACACACAGACACACAGCCACACAGACACACATACAGGCACACACACCCACACAGCGACACACACGCAGACACACACAGATGCACACTGGCACACATACACAGACACACACAGATACACACAGAAACACACACAGACATACATAGAAACACAAGCACAGACACACAAAGACACACACACCCACACACACACAGACACACAGCCACACATACACAACCACACACATACACACACAGAGACACACAAAGACGCACAAACACAGATCACAGATACACGCACAGACACACAGAGATACACACCCACACACAGCCACACATTGACAGACACCACAGACAAACGCACACGTAGAAACACAGGCACACACAGACACACACACGGACACACAGCCACACACACATACACACCTACACATACATACGCATACACATACAAATAGACACTCAAAAACACACATAGACACACAAAGATGCACACACAGCCACACACACACTCACACATATAGACCTACACAGACACGCACCCACTCACACAGACACACAGTCTCACACAAAGAGACCAACTCAGACACGCAATACAGACACACACAGAAACACACACAGACACACATAGAAACACAAACATAGACACACACAGACACACACAGATGCACACAGAAACACACACAGACACACATAGAAACACAAACACAGACACACACACACAGACACACAGCCAGACACGCAGACACACAGCCATACAGACACACACACAGGCACACACACCCACACAGCGACACACACTCAGACACCACAGAAGCACACAGAAACACACACAGACACACATAGAAACACAAGCACAGACACACACACAGACACACACAACCACACCTACAGACACACAGCCACACATACACAATCACACAAGACACACACAGAGACACACACAGACGCACGACCACAGATCACAGATACACACACAGACACACACAGAGATACACACCCACACACAACCACACACTGACAGACACCACAGAAAAACGCACACGTAGACACAGAGAAACACACACGGACACTTACAGCCACACACACACACACACACATACACACCTACACGAACATACGCATACACATACATATAGACACTCAAAAACACACATAGACACACAAAGACGCACACACAGACACACACACTCACACACCTAGACCTACACAGACATGCACCCACACACACAGACACACACAATCCCACACACAGAGACACACTCAGACACACAATACAGACACACACAGACACACACAGAAACACACACAGACACACATAGAAACACAAACATAGACACACACAGACACACACGCAGACACACACAGATGCACACAGACACACACACCCACATCTACAGACACACAGCCACGCACCCACAGACACACAGCTACGCATATACAATCACAAACAGACGCACAAACACAGATCACAGATACACACACAGCCACACACACAGAAAAACACAGACGCACAAACACAGATATATACAGACACACACGAGACACACAGACACACATAGACAGACGCACACAAAGACACACAGACATACACAGGCACACACAGGCACACATAGAAAAACAACACAGACACACACACACAGGCACACCTACAGACACACACAGGCACACACACACAGACACACACAGAAACACACACACAGACACCCACACACAGACAGACGTACACATAGACATACAGACATACGCAGACACACACAGAGACACGCACACAAAAATACACAGACGCACATAGACATACACAGCCTTACACACAGGCACACACAGATACACACATAGACACACACACCGAAACACACAGACATATATAGACATACACAGATACACACACAGAGAAACACAGACACACACGAGACACACATACATACATACACACAGACATACACAGAGACACACACAGACACATATAGACGCACAAACACAGACACACACAGAAACACACACACAGACACACACACAGGCACACCTACAGACACACACAGGCACACACACAGACACACACAGGCACACATACAGACACACACACACACACAGATACATACACTGACCCGCACAGAAACACAAAGACAGACACACATATACACACATACAGACACACACAAACACACACAGACACCCACACAGACACACACAGACACACACAGAGATACACAGACACACACAGGCACACACAGAGACA